TGGCGACCTGCGTGGGAACTGTGGGTTGATGAGAAATGACTGTTTCCATTGCAAAATGATGCAGGATCATAAAACAGGCAACCGCCTGTCTTTATTTTAAATGTTGATTTTTTTTTCATTGTGGATGTTTTGCATTAATTTTTTTAAGATTAGTTACTTTTGGACTTCCGGCAAGATGGAGGCATAAGTGGATGCACCGTACCTCCACGTACAACCAAGATTAGAACAACAACAATTTAGAGATAGAATAACACCCAGAACTGATAGAAAATTTATCTGAATGTAAGTTGGACAGCCAAGAAGTTGAAGTAGACCTGTTCATCCAGACCAGTAGGAGGGGCAGAGAGGAGCAGCAGGGCGTGGGTCGTGGTGCACGGAGAACAGGGAGGACTGAGCGCATAAGGCAACCGGGAGCGCATAAGGCATCTGGGACACGCAAGATCGCAGCAGGTGGACCCTGAGTACGCAATCGGCAGCTGGTAGACCCAGTGAGGTGGCGATTGTGGACCAGGGCAGAGAGCGCAACCCAGGATCCCAGAGAAGGGACTGAGGTCCCAGGAGAACGGAGCTACTGCCATTGTTCCCTCCTGCTCCCGCCCCCGCCCCCACCCCCGCCCCCACATACAATGTCACAATCTAGTGACTGGGGTGCCCAGCCCCAGTGGACACCTAAGGCTCTGCCCCTCACCATAACAGGAGTGACCAGACCAAAAAGGAGAGAGAGAGAGAGACATGTCTCAAACAGAAAAACAGATCAATGCCCCAGGACTCATCCTTCTGAGTGACCAAGAGATAGCCAATCTATCAGATGCACAGTCCAAAACACTGGTGATCAGGAAGCTCACAGAATTACTTGATTTTGGGCACAAATTAGATGAAAAAATGCAGGTTACCATAAAAGAGATGAAGGAAGATGCACTGAGAACCAATAGTGATGGGAAGGAAACTGGAACTCAAAACAATAGAGTGGACCAGAAGGAAGAAAAAAACAACCAAACAGGAAAGAATGGAGAAATAAGAATTAAAAAAAACGAGAAGCTTAGGAACCTCCAGGACATCTTTAAACGTTCCAACATCCGAATTATAGGGGTACCAGAAGGGGAAGAGGAAAAGCAACAGATTGAACACATATTTGAACAAATAATAAAGGAGACCTTCCCCATTTTGGCAAAGGAAATAGACTTCCAGGAAATCCAGGAAGCTCAGAGAGCCCCAAAGAAGTTGGACCCAAGAAGAAACACACCAAGGCACATCATAATTACATTAGCCAAGGTAAAAATGAAGAAGAGAATCCTAGAAGTAGCAAGAGATAAGGGGACAGTCACCTACAAAGGAGTTCCCATCAGACTGTCAGCTGATTTCTCAAAAGAGACCTTGCAGGCAAGAAGGGGCTGGAAAGAAGTATTCCAAGTCATGAAAGACAAGGACCTATATCCCAGCTTACTCTATCCAGCAAAGCTTTCATTTAGAATGGAAGGGCAGATAAAGTGCTTCTCAGATAAGGTCAAGTTAAAGAAGTTCATCATCACCAAGCCCTTATTTTATGAAATTTAAAGGGACTTATCTAAGAAAAGAAGATAAAGAAAAAACACACATAGTAAAAGGACAGCAAACTCACAATTATTAACAGCCACACCTAAAGCAAAACCAAAAGAAACTAAGCAAACAACTAGAACAGGAACAGAACCACAGAAATGGAGATCACATGGAGGGTTAGCAACACGGGAGTGGGAGGAGGAGAGAGCGGGAAAAGGTACAGAGAATAAGTAGCATAGATTGTAGGTTGAAAATAGATAGGGGGAGGGTAAGAATAGTATGGGAAATGTAGAAGCTACATAACTTATAAGTATGACACATGGACATGACTAAAGGGGGGGATATGGGTGGGAGGGTGTACAGGGTGGAGGGGAGTGAAGGGGGGAATGGGACAACTGTAATAGAATAATCAATAAAATATATTTTAAAAAGATTAGTTACTTTTTAAAAAGATTTTATTTATTTATTTGTTTGTTTGTAAAGATTTTTATTTATTTTTAGAGAGGGAAGGGAGGAAGAGAGAGAGAGAGAGAGAGAGAGAAACATCAATGTGCGGTTGCTGGGGGTCATGGCCTGCAACCCAGGCATGTACCCTGACTGGGAATCGAACCTGCAACACTTTGGTTCACAGCCCACGTTCAATCCACTGAGCTACGCCAGCCAGGGCTAATTTTATTTTTTAAAATATTACTTTAAAATATTGATCTTGATAATTGAGTTTTTTGGGGGGGGCCTCCTCAGATACTGTGCCCAAGGAATGTTTCTCATTCCCCTCACCTTAACCAGATTCCTAGTAAAACCAAGGCTCGGCTTGAATGACTCCAGGGTTCTGTCCCCAGAGTTGACCTTCTCTAAAAAGGGCCCTGTTAGGGAGTGGATTCCAGGTCCCCATGTCCTGCATGGCCCACACAACTGTGGAAGTGCCTCATCTTCTCTTCAGAAATACTGAACCACAGAGCTGCAACAACAGAAATGGTTCCATTGTGTGGTAAGTACATGGTCACATGCCTGCAAAAATGTTTGGAGACATCAGATAATCTCCACCCAGGCTTAGTCACATATGACCCAGAAGCTACAAGTTCCCAATTCCTATGCTGGTATGTTCGTCTGAACTCATGGTGTCAGAATTCCTAGGCTCTCCAAGCACTGATTTACTGAGTTTGGCCTTCCTGTTGCTTAGAATGAGGTAGACAGAGTCTCTGATTCAGAAGCCCAGCCTCCCAGTTTACAAGTCTGCACAGTCCCCTCCTTAGCCAAGCAGTTGGCGGATAGGGTTCTAAGCACTACTTTCTATTGGACAAGAACATTGCTGATTTTTGCTCTTTTCAATCTTTCCCTGGGGCTTCAGGAAAAGCAAAGAGAAGCCACTGTTCAAACCCTTTGAACTACAGCAATGCACATGCTGATGTAGTTTTTGTGTAGGACAGAAGGAGGAACTGGAGACAGGGATAAGGAAGAATAGCTCCCAAACATCCCTTCTACCTTGCAAAAAGGGATCCACAAATCCTGGCATGTTGGCTCCTATTCTTTTCCTCTCAGAAATTTTACAGAAGAAAAATCAAATGACCATGAAGTTCAGCTCTGTAGTGAAAAAGGAGTCAGGAATACCTAACTGCCTATTCCCAGACACCCTTCCTGACTATTTTAGAACCAGTGCACAAAAAAGCCCTCATTTTCCAAGGAAGTAATCAAGTATTTATCAAGACCCATACTGGATAAACTACATTCACTCCTGCCGCCTCTAATCCAAGCTCTTGCCAAAGGGACCTTCTAAAAACACAAGTGTGATGAAATAACAAATACTGATAAAGTGCTGACTGGCATTACTTGCACATATAGTAAGTGCTATTAAATGTCTATGAAATAAATACATATAATTCTATTCTACTCAGAGGATTGTCAGAAGAAGAAATGAAAATTTCTTCACTGTCTGCCTCTGTCTTCTGCTTCTTCACCACTCTCTCTCCTTTGCTAGCTTTACCTTAGGCCTCATTTCAAGTCTTTAGTCGGGGTACCTGCTGGCCTTAACACATGTTTTTTTCCTTCCTTCCTTCCTTCCTCCTTTTTTTATCCTCACCCGAGGACATGTTTATTGATTTTAGAGAGGGTGAAAGGGAGGGAGAGAGGAAGAGAAACACGGATCGGTTGCCTCTCCTATGCGCCCCAACCAGGACTGCAACCTAGGCACCTTCCCCAAAGGCGAGCCCACGGCGTTTTTGTTTACTGGATGACGCTCCAACGGGGCCACACTGGCCGGGGCCTATTCTCTCTTTCTTAAGCACTCTTCCCATACCCATTTTTCATGTGACCAACCTCGTATCTCAGCTTAAATGTTACTTCTTCCTTCAAGGAGCTCCCAGAGAATCCTTAGGTTCCTCCATTTTACCCTCTTATAGCTATAGTGTTTATCACAATTGTAATCACAACTAAATGTTTTAGGTTTTTTTCCTTACTAGATCACTAATATATTATAAAACAATATAACTCAGGAACAGCCAGATGGAAGAGATGCATAGGACGGAGCATGGGAAAAGGGCCCTGAGCTTCCATGCCCTTTCAGGCACGCCTCTCTCCCAGCACCTCCACAGGTTCACCAGTCCGGAAGTTCCTAGGCTTGTTTAACGTCTGCTTCCCACTAAGCTGTAAACTTCCCCAGAAGGGCTTATAGGTGTTTCCTGTTCACTGCCTATCTAGAAGCTCTCACAGGGTGGGTCCCTAGTGAACCACTGTCCAATGAATGAATAAAAACCTTTTTAATACTGTTTCATTTAGGTAACTGCCCAAAGGTAGCACAGCTGATCCAAGATTCGAATCAAGACATTCTGGCTTTGAAGCCCAAGGTTTGACCACCGCACTGACTGTCCCTTCCCGTCCCCCAAAGCTGGAGCCAGAACGTAAGTGCTCTGGAAAGTGAGTTTAAGGAGCTGCAGGTCTTCTCGCGTAGGGCCGCAAGCTGCAAGGAACCGGCGCCGGGTCCACAGGCCTCGGGCCCAGGGAAAGGGGCACCCATCACGTGTATGCTGCAGGGCCAGCCGCTGCCGCACCCCAGGGCAGGAATGCAGCCTCGCCCCAGTCCCGCGCCAGCAAAACCGCGTTCACCCAGGGGACTGACGTCAATGAAGGCGGGGCGCCTCCCTGAGAGAAGCGGGGGCGGCCGGGGGCTCCGGGTAGGAACCCGGACGGACACGCCCCTCGTCGCTGTTCCAGCGCTGATTGGACCCGGGAATCTTCGCACTCGGGTTTCGAGGCCGGCGGAGGGAAGGGGGAGGAGCCATAACACGCCCCTCGCTCTCTGTAGTTGCTGATTGGCCCACGGAGTCTCCGCGTTCGATTTTGGAAGGCTCCTTTTGGAGCTCACATCTAGGCTCGGCTGAGGATTGGCTGTTCCTGCGCTGAGGAGCGCTTTCTCCGGGGAGCCGTGGCTGTAACCGAGGTGGCCGGCCTCGGATAGCCAGGTACGTAGGTCCGTGACCCAGCTCCTGCTGCGCTGAGAGCGGGCGGGCGAGCTAGTCGTCAGAGCCCGGGTGCCGCCAGGACCCAAACCCCCAGATCCACCTAGGGCCCGGTTGTTGTGCGGAGCGCCACGTCTGATTCCCGGGGTCCGACCTGTTCTGGGGATGTCGCTGTGTAATCTCGGCCAGGATACCCCTTCCGAAGCTCTCGACCTGTCGGTAAATGCCGCCTGGTCCTTGTGAACACCTTCGCGGCAGAAGCAAGCCCAGAGCTGCGTCCTCCTTTTCGAAAGGCCGGGTAAGGGTAGGGTTTGGGGTAGGCTCATCTTATCTTGCCCCATCCCGATTTGAGGTCTGTCGGCGCAGCCCTTCAGCGCGGTGAGTAATCGCTCTAATTACTCGCGGGGCCATGGAGTGCAAATGGCACAGAGGCTGGCTGGGGAGACCTGACTTTCGATCCCTGTACCTTCCAAAACCTGCAGAAGCAGAGAACAGCCTCCCAGAGGTTTCAGAGCCTCCTGGGTCCTTCCTCTGAAGACCTCTGCAGCCATCTGGCGGGAACAAAAATAACACTGGTTGAGAGCCCAGATGCTGGGGTCAGACTACCTGGGTTTTCATATCTTAGCCTTATCACCTACTACCTGTGTGACTTTGGGAAAGTTAATTAACCTTCCTGAACTTAGCTTTCTCATCTGTAAAATGGGTATAGCATAGTACCTCCTCATAGGAGTGTCATAAGGAGTAAAGAGATTACCTCTCTGAAAGTGCTGTTCTGTTTTTGACTTGTAGCAAGGTGCCTCGATGGCAGTGATGATTTTAAAGCCCCCAGAGGACTCCATCTCCCTTTACCATCTTCTCCCAAGAGTGAAGGCCCCTTTTGAGGGAGTGTCATGATAGTGGTGGTGACAAAAATGGGTAGTTGAACAGCCTTTCCCTTACACCATGCTTTCATAAAGTAATGTACTGGGATGGATGCCTCCAGTACACTTTATCACCCTTATCTCTTTAGGGGTTGTGTATTCTCACCATTCTGACAATGAGCACATTGAGGCAGGGGACAACTGGGGCTTGCCAAAATCACCCCGTTATCAGTGGCACAGCCAGAATTCAGGGTTCTTGAACTGTTGAAAAAAGATATGCCTGGATCTAGTAGGACTTATTTTTTTCCAGGTCATATCTGAGAATTGGCCTGGGGGAAGGGCCCATTTCCTTCCTTCGCCTCCTGGGACACAGATTTGGAGGCCAGGGTATGTCCACTTCCCTCAGGCATGCCTGGCTGAGGCTAGGCCCTTTCGGATGGGGGTGGAACATGCATCCCTTTGCACTGGGCCTCCCATTTGAGGATCCACAGATTTTGGCTGCTGTCCAGTGGCATGTCTGTGCAGGGAACCAGGCCAGGGCCACAAGTGTTGATTTGGGCCTTGGGCCAGAGCCTCCAGTTCTTTTCCTAAGAGGCCCTTGGCCTCCGCTTACAGATTATTACCACCAACAGGGTTATCTAAAGGTGGTGAACCAAGGGAGGCGCCAGTTGCTGTGTAGCTCACAAAGGTATGTTCTGCCTCTCACCGTTACACCTCCCTGAGAGCACAGTGAGCATAGATAGATGTCTTAACTGAGCTTCGTACATTACCAAGAGTGTTCAGTCGTGTACCATATTTATAAATTGCAAGTTCGTTGCATGGTGAGTCACTTTTTAAATATATTTCTTTGTTAGAGCTATGTAGTTCCTTAACTGCCTGTTTCAAAGGTGAACTTTGTCAGCTTTTGACATTTTGGTATTTACTTGGGGGGTTCATTTTTAACCTAGTTTGTGTCAAATTGATTTTGCAATTAGTCTTTACTTATTCACTTACGGACTTAATCTTTTTTGTCAGTTCTGAAATGGAAGATTCATTTGTAATCTTTTAATAGCCCTGTCATTTCATCTTCCAGTTTAAAAAGTGCCATTGTTCAAGTATTTACTGACTTCCCTGGATTCAAGTCTTGTCCAGGAAATGAGGAGGAAAGTAACTATTGAACACATTGAAGAGACAGAAGTTTCTTCTGATAATAAAAGTGCTCTGATTCATTTTCCCCCAAGTTTAAAGTCTAATCCTACCTGATATGACTGATTTTTATTATCCTAACTCTGCTGTCTGAACCTTGGGGTGGGAGGCAGAACCTAGAGTAGGGGCCTCAAAATCTGGAGGTGCCACCCCCGATCGTGAGGCTTACAGAGGGTGTAGCTGGAGGCTCAGACTCTCCCAAGTGGTTTCTCATTAGTGCATTTGTAACTCTCTGAGAGGCTGGAGGTAGGGCCTTGCGGGGCCTTTGCAGCCCTGGTAGAGGCAGCTGGGACTATCTGGGAAGTCGGGCTCCAAGCCATTTCCTCCCTGAGGCAGCTGCCATTCTCGTGAGGGGAGGGTGAGATTGACTGAGTTTGAGAGAGAAGACATCACCCCTTCTCCCACCACCCAGATCCCCCTAGGAGTGTCCCAGGCTTGGCCATAGCCAGCCTGGGTCACTAGAGTGCTTTAGAACAGTGAGTTCCCTGTCTTCCACCAGACCCTAACACCATCGCCCACAGCAGCAGAGCAATGCCTGGCCTCCAGGGGAGATTGAGAAGAGGAGCTACTGGTTGGGGTGTCTTAATTAGGTGGGGTGACACCTAATTAGCCAGACCTGTCCACACATGTTGCTCCTAGGCCCTGGCAGACAAGCAAACCATCTCTTCGTTCAGACCTAGCCTTTCATGGAATTGTTGACTCACCACCCGCACAGGCCGTTGGAGACCTTCAGCATCTACATGTTCTTCTTACAGATGTAAGAGGAAGGCAGGCCCACAGAAACATGCGAAGTACCTGAGGCCTCTCGATCACTGAGTGGCTGAACTGGGGCTCAAACCCAAGGCCTTGGATTCATAAGCCAGTGCTCTGTGCCCTGGGTTGGGTTGTGTTCCAGATTTCTTTTGTGGGAGCTAGAGATCTTCCTCTTCATGCCGCCACAAGTTCAAAACTGGGGCTGCTTGTCACCCAGGGAATAGTCCTGACATTAGAGAAAAGACTTCAGATAAATTCCACACCTCACCCCTGCCTCCAGTGTGGGATATTCAGTGTTCTTTCCCTGCTACTGATGTGTTTTCCCCTTTGTGAATTAGCGCTCCTTACAGAAATCATGGGAAGAAGTGTGCTTTCAGCTGCTTGGCTATGGACAAGCAGGTTGTTTAAAAGTGTGGGCTAGCCCTGGCTGCAGTGGCTCAGTGGATGGAGCGCCAGCTTGCAAACCAAAAGGTCACCGCTTTGAGTCCCAGTCAGGGCACATGCCTGAGTTGCGGGCCAGGTGCCCTGTGGGGGGCGTACTGGGGGGCCTGTAAGAGGCAACCACACATTGATGTTTTTCTCCCTCCCTTCCCCTCTCTCTAAAAATAAATTTTAAGAAATCTTTTTAAAAAGCCTGGACTGCAGTGAGACTAGGTTTTGGCCTTGGCTGAGCCCCTGGTGCTTATGTCTAAGTCTCAGCTTCCCTTTGCTTGCCTGTGAACCAGGGTGAAGATAACAGCGCCTGGCTCCTAGACTTCTTTTCAGGATGCGATGGTACTGTGCATACTGCGTGACGCAGAATAAACGCCCCATAGTTAGCTTTGATTTCTCTTGATCAACCTGAAAGTGCTACTTGGTGACTGTTGTTTTATGGCCATAGTATATTTATATAATTCAGCTTTGGGGTTTAATTATCACGTTAGGTTTTAACCGGATTCCCATTATTGTGCCTAAGGTTTTAAAATTCTCATTTTCCAGATAAAACATATACTTTTTATGAAGGTAATTTATCTGAAACTCTTGTGCAGATTTATTTCAGTTATTAAATCTTTTGAAAAAAGAGTGAGTTCTTATGATAGGAGGCCTAGAAACTGGGACAGAGGAGTGTAGAAATTACCGGAATCGGGAGGGTGGCTATTGAGGTGAGGAGGAGAGAGGCCAGGGTAAGGGGGGACCGTCATCATCTGGGAAGTCAGAATGGCACTGAGAGATGGAGACTTCATTATCCAACGTGAACTCTCTAGACCTGAGGGAGACGGCTTAATTTTCATATCCTGGATACGGGGGTGGGGCACTGACATGAGCTAACTTTTATTGAATTTTCTTGTAAATTTCAGCCTCTGCCCTGTGATAAGAGTATCCTAACCCTGTGTTAGCCTTTTCTCCCCCCCCGCCCCCCCCCCACTTTTTTCTTCTATATGTATCCTTTTCTGCCCCTTTCTCTCTACAGTCCTTTGGACTCTAGTTAGATGGTTGGTCTATTTCACACTCTTTGCTAAATTATACACGGTGGGGCAAAAGTAGGTTTACAGCTGGGAGTACATGAAACAGTTTATTCTTGTATTGTTATTTCCCATACAAACAACTGTAAACCTGTCTTTGCCCCACTTTGTATGGACTTGGTGGTTCATCCCCAGGGTCTTGAAGCTAGAAGGTGGGACGACTCTTGTCAATTTTATGGACGGAAAAGCAGAAGAGTAGAACACTGAGCACTGTGTCTTCACTTGTTCTCACAGCAACCCAGCGAAGCTAATGGGCTTACACAGGAGTGGATGCAGCACGGTCAGCAGCAAGTGGGGGAGGCAGCCTGGGATTCCAACCCTGGTAGCCAGCTCCACAGCCCCCCTTTCGCTTCTGCGCTGTAGAGCCTGGGCCTCAGTGCCAGAAACCTGGATTCTGTTCCTCAGCTTCTTCATCTGTGAGATGAGGCGGATGAAAGCACCTCACAGGGCTGCTGTGCTCACGTCACATTCCGACGGTGTGAGGTGAACACGGCTCTTCCAGGGGTGCCTGACACATGCAAAGTGCTCGCCACGTTTCAGCTCTGCTGCTGGTGTCATTAAGTCCTGCGTTCTGCCTGGACTCGAGCCAGACAAGCCGGGTTCTCCTGGCCCTGCACTTACACAGTGCTTTGGACTGTGGGAGAGTCACTGAACCAGAGCCACACTTTTTCGTTGGTAAAGGGGAGATAAACCAGTCTTACCTCCCAGGTTTCTGTGACTCTTAACACACGTGTCAGACACACAGGCACTCGATCATAAAGTGTGGCTGTCATCAACAACATTATTTCCCCACGGTGCCCTGGGAAACCAGTGATCTCAAGTCAGGACTTACTCCACTTTGCCTCTGACAACAGTGACACCAGAAGTCCTTGCATTAGTTGGGACCCCCAGGTTTGGGAGGGGCCTATAGAACTAATGATGTTCGTCTGTCTTTCCTTCCCCAGAGCACCCAGGATGGGCACCCCAGCCTCTGTGGTGAGCGAGCCGCTCCCCGGGCAGGCCCCGCCTGAGGCCCGGGGCCGCAAGCAGGCGTCAGCCAACATCTTCCAGGACGCTGAGCTGCTGCAAATCCAGGGCCTGTTTCAGCGCAGCGGGGACCAGCTGGCTGAGGAACGGGCACAGATCATCTGGGAGTGTGCTGGGGACCCCCGTATGGCAGAGGCTTTGAGGAGGCTGCGCAGGAAGAGGCCCCCAAGGCAGAAACCCCTGGGCCACTCACTACACCACTGCAGCCGGCTCAGGTAGGTCCCTGGGACTAGAGGGCTGAGGGAGGGAGGGCACTCATGGTGCCCGTCCCACCAGTTCCTGGCTGTGGGACCTGGGGCTGCTGACCTGGCCTCACCGTGAAGTGCCTACCATTGGGGTTGTCATAAGGTCTACGCAGTGCCTGCCACACGGAAGCACTTAAAAGGTTGCTATTCTGTTGGAGTCATACATGACCCTGTGAACTCGCGTGGGAAGGGGCGCCAGGATCCTATCAGTGCCACCTCACTTCACAGTGGTTCTTAACAGGTAGGAAGGACTAGTGTTTGGAAGGAAAAAAAAATCCTATTTCCCTATTAAAGAGGAGGTAACATTTGATAGTCAGCCTGGTGAGAATCTTGGCTGTGTAATTAGAGAGAATACAGCATAGGGAAGTACTGTAGAGGCATCAAAGATTAAAACTGAGAAACTTTACCCTAAACTTTCCCTAGTCAACCACCTCTTTGCTTAGGCCACTGCCAGCTCAGGAACAGGGGACCCCCCAGAGATCAAGCTGAATCACACGGCCTAACCAACCACTACGGCTACATGCTTGGCCGTAGCTCATTCCTTCCCTGGGGCCCACAATCAAAATTAGACCTTAACAAGCCTTCTGAGATCATCAGATCCGTATTAATTCCAATTGGTCAGTAATCCCTACTTAATGTATGTTGGTAAGGATGCTCATATGACTTACTAATGTCTGCCACGAGTACAGGAAGAGGAAGTTGGAGAAATGCTGAGTGGGGCACGCCCTGACCTAGTCCCACTCTGCATAGAAATCTGAAAGCTTTTGCCTCTCATGTAGCTCTCTGGGGGCAGAGACGAGACCAGAGCCCTGGTCTCCTTTTGCCCCAGTGTTTCAATAGTTTGCATGATCAAAATCCTTAGTCCCTTTTCTGTCCTTCCTGTTGATGTTGGCCTATCATACACTTGTTTCCTGCAGAATCCCAGAGCCCCACAATCCACTGGCCGACGCACAGAGCAGTGCTTCCAGCGATCAGTACCTGAACACTAGGAGGACAAGTGCCAGGATCCGTCGGAACTGGAGGAAGCCAGGCCCCACAAGCTACCTCCATCAGATCAGACACTGATCCAGGGAAGGGGCTGGGAGCAGCAGTGTCTTCCCCAGGAATCATAGGGACTTTTGCCAAAGGGCCCGGGAAGATGAAGGAGGAAAAGAGACTTGAGGCAGATGGCCCCACACGCTGCTGCTGGCCTGCTCAATTCAGAACAGGATTGGAGGTGTCCACTGAGCTCTCCATTGTGTGGGACCCTTTCCTCACCAGGAGAAACAGCGACCGTTTTCGCCTTGACCCTTCCCCATCTAACACTATACTTGGACTGCATGACATTCCCCCCGGGATTCAAGTGATGGGCACTCAAACTAAAGCATCTCACCACTCCTGCTACTAACCTTCCTGCTATTATGACCGATGGTCCAGCAGACTGTCCTGCACCCCTGCCCCTGTCAGGTCACACGAGGAAACTGGTTTAAATGGCAAAATAAAAACATTTGCATCAAGAGCAATGTGAGTCTCTCACAGAAGGGAGGACCCCACAATGGATACTCTGGGGCTGGTAGGTGATGGGTTGGGCACATTGCAGGGAAGTGTGTGTGTTCCCAGGAAGAAAAGAGGCCTCGTATCCTTCGCTTTCTCCCTACCATCCTGTAGAGCCCCTGTGTGGAAGCCTCCTTTTTCAGAGGTGGTCAGATAGAGAGATGGACACATCTCTGCAGTCAGTCCTGATGCACAGGAGAGAAGAGGGTTCTTGGCCCCTGGCCAGGTCTAGAAGAAGGCAGGCTATTACCACTAGCACCGCAGAGTGGGTGGTGAGCCCACAGTCACATGAATGGGCACCAGCTCCTCAGCTGGCTTCTTCGCCCCACGGACCAGACATCCAGAAGTGGGTCAACAGCTGAACCAGGCATTCTTGCGCCTCCTGCATTATCCGAGGTTCCCAGCCTGAAAGCCCTTGAGGTGAGCCTCAACAGAAGCATACCATGTGCTCATTTGCCTTCAGCTCCCCTCCCACTATCTGCTTGATTATCCATCACTTTATTATCATTATTCTGATTATCCTTCACTGTAAAGGAACCAGGGTTCCAAGTGCTCCAAGCACACGCAGAGGAGGGCTGCCCTGTGGTCATGAAGAGAAGCCCATATTCCTTATTCCAAATCCCTGGGGCTAGATGCTTTTGGAATTCAGAATTTTGTTCAGCTGTTTGGAAGTGATAAGTGTAAATACTGTATAATCCCTAGTAGGAAAATATCTCATAACAAAACATTTCTGCAACAAATATTCACACTAAGGAATATGATGATGGTCATAAATAGCCTCAGTGTACGTTCAGGTCAGTTTCAGAGTCAGGTTATGAAAATATTTTTGGTTTTCAGAGCACTGGGACTTAGGAAAGGAGGATCTGTATTTCCCCTACTGGAGGAAAATAGACTCAAGAGCCACGTCTCAGCCAACTCACGGAAACACAAGATTGTCCTTAAAATTGCACTCTACCTTGTCTTTCACAAAAAGAAAAAAAGACAAAAAAGGTCAGAATCAGACTTGTTATTCATACATTTGCATTGATTTAAATACATTACATACAATTTCTACAGTGCATTAGAACAATACAGAGGCGGCAGGACTCGCACAGCCCAGCCCCCGCTCCCTGCCGCTGAGGGACGGGGCCTATGGCTGGCAGAGGGCTGGGCCATTCCATGAGTGCCACCCAGAAGCACTCTGGGCCCCTGGCTTTACCCAAGTCCACATTCAAGGCAACCTGAGTACAGGCTTCAAGGAGAACAGACAGAGGCCAGAAAAGGATCCCCCCGCCATCGCCACTCTTTTGCCTGCCAGGACTGGGACCAGCCCCTTTGTCATTGGACCCAGTTTCCTTCTCACAGAGCTGGTCTGGATGAGGGCAACGTGCAGATCTGCTTGGCTGGGGGCAGCAACCAGGCTCCTCGTCAGACTCCTCAGGTTCCAGGTGGGGAGCTTCACCACAAGTCTGTATCAAGCTGTCTATGGAGAGCTAAGCACACCTGGGTCCCCTTCTGGCCTCTGGGAGCCCTGCTGCTCCTGCGGGCTGAGGGCAGGCCTCCTCACAAACGTGGTCCCCAAGGCTAGTGTCCAGGTCAACTGACTGGGATTGTCAGGGCTGGGGCAGGCTGGGGAGTTGCGCCTTCGTCCACGGGGCACGCGCATCCGGCTTTTACACAAGCTTCCTGTCAGCTGGATGGAAGCCCAGGAGAGGCTGGCTCCCGGGGGCTGGAGTGGAAGGGGCAGCCTGGCCCAGCTGACAAGGAGGCTGCACATCTCTGCTTGATGGCAGGAGCTGGGCAAGCAGAGGGCAGCCACAGTCCTCGCTCCCTTTCTTTGGTTGTTTTTCAAACCTTCAAGATAGTTTCTTTCCAAGGCTGATTGACCAATCCGCAGCGTTCCAGAAACTTGAGTGTCCAGTGACATGGGGCTGCCCCTGAGCCACAGATGGCACCCTCTTTACTCCCTCACGAAGCCACTCTTTGCTTTGGTGTAGAAAGGGTTTGGACACCTGGCAAGGGGACAGCTGAGGGAAGGAGACGTGGAAGCAGGAAGCACACTGAGCTGAACAGCGTTGGGGAACAGCTTGAAGGCCTCTGTCCTTCGGGCCCTACCATTCTTAAGAAGCCATGGAAAAACTGCCCTGGAACAAGAGGTCAGGGAGCAAAGGGCGGCTACCAATTAAGAGGCAGAATACAAGTCCTGTTTCCTCCACCAAGCAGCAGTGGTAGCTTAAAAAGAAGTCGGAGGACCTAATATCCTGTCCTCTTATAAATTGAGACCCACTCCAGAACCCAAACTGAACCCCTAAGTCCAGAGTTGAGAAAAGAAACATCTAAAATAACATAAACAAATGAAAGGAGTGGGAGAGTTTATCACTTGTGGGCAGGGCAAAGGACTCAGAAAGCAAGGCTGGGGTAAGTTTGCCCACAGACCTATCACAGCTCCCAGCACACACTCAGGGTACACGAATCCTTTGTACATGCTGGGGGAGTCCACATCCTACCTCCTGCTTTTGCCCGAGTGACAGGCAAACTACAGGCCCGAACTAGAGTGTTTGGGTCCCTAGCAGGGCAGAGCACAGAGCTGATCGATAGGATCATATACAGAACTGCTGGGAGGTCTGGAGCGAAAGCACCCCCACCGTGGGAATCACATCTGAAGGTTTTCTGCAGCCTGCTGCACTGGTAGGGGGAGGAGAGGACTTGGCGAAATCTCAAAGGACAGGTGTGGCTTCTGCCTGCCCCAGCACTGAGGGTCACCCAGCTGCCTTGGCCCCCGGGAGTGAGGAACTGTGAGGCACCTGAATATCTGGGCCCATGTTAATCTAGGTCTAGATTTGAAGTTTCTGATGATGAAAGGATCTGGGATTCTGCCTGGGTTTTTCTAATAATTTAAATTAGTTTTTGTTGTTCGTTTCTGATGCAGAATATAATGAGGAATTGCAACAGAGCAAGATGTAGGGGAGGAAAGGGAATTTCCCAGCCTGCCCTCCAGAGACGCTGGAGGCAGATGCTCCCTCCCAGACACCTGGACTCCTTACACAGAGCTCCAGTCCTCCCTGGCACCCAGGAGGGCCCACCAGCACTCACTGCCCCTCTGTCTGCGCTTCTCCCTGTGCATGGGAAAGCCCTGAGGGGGTGGTGAGCAGAGAGGGAGGGCTCTCAAGGGCACTGCTCTCTACAGGCTTCTCTGGCTTTTCCTGAAACCCGCTCCCCAGGCTTCCTCCCAGCCTAAGTCGCAGACAACACGCCCTTGTCTCCCGCTTGGGCTACCACCACGAAAAGAAGGGTTTCCGACTCTGAAAGCTCTGTGTGTAGGACTCGCTAGCAGACCGCTGGTGGGAACGGGCCGTCTCAACAATCACGGGTGGCATCTGGACCAGGTGCAAGGGACTCTTGTTGTCTTTCAAGGCCTGAGTCAGATTTAGGATCTGCAGTGGGAAAATGAGATAAATTAAGGAAAGGCCTAGAGGCATCCAGGTCTGCCTCTGAAGGGAGACTGGCAGATAGAGTGTTCCTAGAAATAAAAAAAAAAACAAAAAAACAAAACCCAGCCCTGCTGGTGTAGCTCAATGGACTGAGTGCTGGCCCGCAAACCAAAAGGTCACTGGTTTGATTCACAATCAGGGCATATGCCTGGATTGCAGGCCAGGTCCCCAGTTGGGGGCATGCGAGAGGCAACTGATAGATGTTTCGCTCCCTCTCTTTCTCTCTCCACTCCCCTCTCTCTAAAAATAAATAAATAAAATCTAAATAAAGTATCCCATCTTGAAAACTAAAAACTAAAAACAAAACAAAACAAAACATGCTAATGGAAAATTGTACAAATAGTTACTTATAAGAGTAGGACTATAAGTGGGCAATATAGAGAAAATGAAAACCTTTCTAGCCATTTTAAAAATAAAAATTACAACAAATCTCTCTGATATTTTGCCCTTCCAGTTCGTAAAGATATGGAAGGTGGTGACTCAGAGCTGGGGAGAGTCTGGAGACAGGACACAGGGTTAGATGGCGGGACCGTCTTCCTGAAAGGCCGGTGGACAATGAAGACTGAGATGTGCACAGACCAGGCCCTCTGACTCAGCAATTCCATTTTTAGGACTAAGATACAAACAACTGTGAACATGCACAAGACAGTTTTAGCCAATACAATGCAGTATTGTTTATAAAGTGAAAATAATATAAATGCTCAAGAGTATGGGATCAGTTAATAATTTGAGGGATAAGAAACAATTAAAATAGATATTTCTTTGGCATGGAAAGCTGATCACAATATTATTTGAGTCAAAAAAAAAAAAGAAGATAAGGAATCAGTATCATAATGTGACTTCACTTTTATTTTCTAAACTCCTTTCTATCTACCCACCTGCAGAGATAAAAGTCTGGTAGTTGGCAGGGATTATATGTGGGTCAAGGAATTACAGGTGATTTTTATTTGTTTTTTTTTACTGTTTACCCTTATTTTGATTTTCCTATAAAGATCATGTATCTTAAAAAGCCAACATTTCAGCTGGATTCTTCCTCTAATGCTGCCTGTTCATCATCTTTTTATTTAAATAGAATTTATACTTTGGAATAATTCTGTATCAACATAAAATTTGCAATGATAGTGCAAAAAGTTCCTGTGTATGATTGACCACATTTTCTCCTTATTTTAACATCTTACATAACCATGGTATATTTAGCGAAACTAGGAAGTTAACGCTAGAACATTACTATTAACTGAAGTCCAGACTTAGTTCAGACTTCATTAGCTTTTCCAGTACTGTGCTTTTTCTGTTCCAGGATCACATCCAGGACACCACACTGCACTTAGTTCCCTACCAACTTTTGTCTGTATTTCAGAACTATTTCAGATATGCACCAATGAGAACATATTTTCTCTCCCTTGTCAAAATTAGAATCACCACCATTTATGTTCTCTGGTAGGACAGGACAAAAGCTAAAGTTTTCCTATGATAGCCTTCTAAACCACTAGATGTT